AAAAGAGGGTTGTCTAAAGCCATGTACCTACATGACTTTTTTGTATAAATCAACTAACCAGAATCGCGAAAGTTTGTTTATACAGATTAGCCCGAAGAAGTTAAAAAATAAAGAAAATGCAAAAATATAAAAAATGTTAGTCTAAAACTGTCTTGAAGCATTAACAAAAATGTTAGGAGATGATTTTACCAATAGACTACTTTGCCTCTAACCCACTCTAACACTAAACTATTTCTATTTCTAATTTTAATCAAAACTTCAAAAAATTAAATAAGTATATGGCTTTAGCCATCCCCCCAGAAAGGTAATTCTGCATAACACCAGCACTAATAATTCTCAATTAATTGAGAAGCATGAGAATTTTAAAAAATAAATAAAAAAATAATAGGTAATTGCTAATTTTGGCCTGTGAAAAACTCACTAGAGGTGCTATATCTCAAAAAACATTTAAGTAAACGGGATCAGGTACTCTAAGTAAAAATATCCAGGGCCCCTAAATACCTTATAAAAACTAAAATCAGGACCTTATATTAGCTCTATATTATATTATATAAAAAAAACAATTATTAATACTTGCACCTTAACCATATAAATAATTAGAAGATGTAATTTGCCTGGGTTAAATATAGTTATTAATAATAAAAACAATAAATGGAAAAGTCTTGTTTTGTTCAATAAGAATAAAAATAGAAGTAATAATTGTTCTATTTTCTCAAAAAAGTCAAGTGATTATTTTCTGTTTAGTAATAGATATATGCACTAAAATTTTTTTTAATGCGGTCTTAAATAATAGCTTCCTTTAATATTTGGGTGCTTTTAAGCAAAAATATTAGCCTTTTCTCTAAGCCAATATCCATGGTCTGACCATTATTGATAGTGTATCTCATGGATCGCTTATAAGTGTTTCATAGTTCATCTCATACTGTATAAAGAACAATTAGAACAATTATAACATGCAGTGATAAATATATATCAATATATATTAATACCAGAAAATTTTCATGCTAGTTTTTTTTTTAACGGCATTTAAAAATAATAATTTTTAACTATTGTAAATCACAATGGTTAGAAAATTATTATTTTTCAAATGCCATTAAAAAAAACAAATCTAAAAGATTAGTGTGAAAAATTGCCTAGTACCGATATATATCGATATATATTTATAGATCTCTTGCAGTATATGTTATACCTTCGGTAGATATTTCAAAGCATCTAAAAAATACAAAATTTACCTGCAACTTATTCGAAATTATATAAGTTACACAAAATCTGAGTTTGGATTAAATTCAGTGCTTAGGACATACTAGTACTAAGACAATCTGAATGTGTAAGTAGATTAGATCACTTGTAAATTTAAACTTTAAAATTTATTGTTATAAAAACTTAAACTTTTAAATTTTGAATTCTTTTTATCTAAACTTTCTTTGACCAGGTTGAATATATATACTAACAGAACTTTTCTTGAATAGAAATTAACTCTTGGTCAATCTAATAGAATTATAGGTGGATTTTGAAATTTTTTTTGATTATAACTCTCTCTGACTCTTTTTGGTGTGTACAAAGAGAACTTTGATTTTTTAAAACTCTCTTTTGACCAAGAACTCTCTTTAACTGGGTATATGCATACTAAATGTTCTTTGATTGGTTTTTTAGAATTTGCTTTGACCAAACTTTTGAACCGCTGAATTATGTTTTTTTTTTAAAATAGAAATTAACTCTATGGACATGACTTTGGACTTTGGTTGGTCACGACAGTTGTGTGCGGGGTGGGGCACATAACATTCACATTTTTAGTTGGCTCTTTAAAACTTTTATTCGAACAATTTAATAGAATTATGTAGATTTTGAAATTTTCTTTGATCACAACTTTCTCTAACCGGTAATCTTTGACCAGAACTCTTTTTGGTGTGTGTATAAAGAGAACTTTGATTTTTTAAAACTCTCTTTTAACCAAAAACTCTCTTTGACCAGGTAGGTGTATACTAAACATTCTTTGATTGGTTTTTTTGAAATTCGCTTTGACCAAACTCTGACCGCTGAATTATGTTTTTTTTTTAGAATAGAAATTAATTCTATAGACGTGACTCTGGACATTGGTTGGTCACGACAGTTGTGTGCGTAGGTGGGGCACATAATACACACACACTTTTAGTTGGCTCTTTGAAACTTTTATTCGACTGATCTAATAGAATTATGTGGATTTTGAAATTTTCTTTGATCACAACTCTCTCTAACCAGTAATCTTTGACCAAAACTCTTTTTGGTGTGTGTACAAAGAGAACTTTGATTTTTTAAAACTCTCTTTTAACCAAGAACTCTCTTTGACTGGGTAGGTGTATACTAAATGTTCTTTGATTAGTTTTTTGGAATTCGCTTTGACCAAACTCTTGAACCACTGAATTATGTTTTTTTTTAAAATAAAAATTAACTCTGTAGACGTGACTCTGGACATCAGTTGGTCACAACAGTTGTGTGTGGGGGTGGGGCACATAACACACACATGCTTTTAGTTGGCTCTTTAAAACTTTTATTTGACCAATCTAATAGAATTATGTGGATTTTGAAATTTTCTTTGATCACAACTCTCTCTGACCAGTAATCTTTGACCAGAACTTTTTTTGGTGTGTGTACAAAGAGAACTTTAATTATTTAAAACTCTCTTTTGACCAAGAACTCTCTTTGACCGGGTAGATGCATACTAAACATTCTTTGATTGGTTTTTTGGAATTCGCTTTGACCAAACTCTTGAACTGCTGAATTATGTTTTTTTTTTAGAATAGAAATTAACTCTGTGGATGTGACTCTAGACATTGGTTGGTCATGACAGTTGTGTGCAAAGGTGGGGCATATAACACACACATGCTTTTAGTTGGCTCTTTGAAACTTTTATTCAACCAATCTAATAGAATTATGGGTGAATTTTGATTTTTTAAAACTCTCTTTGACCAAGACTCTTTTTGACTGGTAGATGCATATTAAAAGATCTTTGATTGGTTTTTTTCTCTACCACTAAATTATAAATTTTTTAGAAGTGACTCTGTATATTGGTTGGTCATGACAGTTGTGTAGGAATTTTGTATTGCAATTTGTAATTCTGAATCAGCATCAGACCATTGTTTAAAGTTGAAACTTAAAGAAGGATTATAAATAATTTCCACATTTAATAATGTAATTCCAAATTTTTCCTTTGTTAATTTGTAAGTAATCAGCTTTCAAGAAATTTTTAGTTGGCTCTTTGAACCTTTGATTCGACCAAATGGATAGAATTTTGGGTGGATTTTGAAATTTTCTTGATCAAAACTCTCTTTGACTGGGTAATACTTTGGTTGGTTCTTTGAAATTCTCTTTAGTACAAAAATAACTTTGATTATTTTGAAATCTATCCTGCTAAATTATAAATTTTTTAGAACTCCTAGATGTCAGTTGGTCACATGTTCTTTGAAAACTTTGATTCAACCAAGTAGATAAATACTTGGTGAATTTTGAAATTTTCTTTGACCAGAACTCTCTTTGATCGGGTAATAATTTGGTTGGTTCTTGAAATTCTCTTTGACCAGAACTCTTTTTGATGTGTACAAAGAGAACTTTGATTGATTCTTTAAAAACTTTAATTTGACCAAGTGGGTGTACTAATAGGACTTTAGTTAGTTCTTTGAAATTCTTCTTCATCTCTGGTTAGTTCTTCTGACCGGAATGGGTGAATCTAATAGAATTCTCTCTGACCAACCCTAATATATACTTAAAACTAGTTTTATATATACACTGAAAAAAAAACTTAGTTGACTAAATTAAAAATATTTGATAATAATTGATGATTATTATCACCTTATTATTTACTTTATTAGACTGAACAGCAAAGGTTCAATACAAAAAAAAAAAAATTTCAACCAAATTGAAATTACAAAAAAACAAAACGCCTTATGGCATCCCGGTGGGTACAATTGTGTTCGATTTTTTAAATAAATTATGACATTTGAGCTAAAATTTCTTTATAAACTTTTGACTTGGCCTTATTAACATTTATTCTATTTAATATTATTGTTACTTGCTTTTCGTACTCTTTAGCATAATAGTATCAGTGCAATATCTCAGCTTGATTGGCTTGTTATTTGCACGACTAGCCTTTTTTTTTTTTTAGTCTTCTTCTTTACAAGGAGTCATTAATGCCCTAGATGTAGCGCAGATAAAGTGATACTGTAGGTGTTGTGGACAAAGTTGGGTGTTGTGGTAGATCTCGCAGGTGTTGTGGTATATCTAGTACGTAGATATTCAATAAAATAGTACTGTATGCAGTGTTTAAAATTTGATGTTCTCTGTGTTCTCAGAGAATATTTAACAATTTTTATGAACATGAATTACTGGAAAATGTTCTCTATTTGAGAACATTTAATAAAATTTTTTAATATTAAAAATTTTTGATTTTCTAATACTGAGAACATTAAAAAATTTTTGAGAACATTAAAATTTTAAAAAATATTTTTTTGAGAACATAAAATCAATTTTGAATTTTAAACACTGACTGTATGGCAGCCAGACATATGAAAACTATACTAAATTTTGATCAAATTTCTGTCAATTAATAATTGATTTACGTAAATTTAAATTTTATACCGATTAAAATGTAACATAGCATACATCAAATCTAAAGTATGTTTAATAAAAGTATTTTAATTTAAAAGTTTTTTTAAAAAAAAATTTTTATTGCAAAATGTCTTCAAACTTTACTACTTTACTATATCTATAGAACTAGTAAGATATAGCAGATGTAGAAGTATGTGTATTTGTTGGTGGCAATCGGGGGCTACACAAGCTAACCAATTACCACTAAACAACACAGAGATGATTTGATTTGGCAAGGGTAAGGCTAAATCAGGTTAAGCGAACTATCCCTGCTCTTTATTAAGGGCAAAAAGAGCCCATTTTATACAATTTTTGTATATGCAGAGAGAAAGGAAAAAGAACAAAATCAATTTTTTTCTAATCTAAGTCCGGCAAGTATGTCACTTTTGGCTTTGCTTGGCTCTCTGTATAAGCTTTTCCATGAGGCTTACTCCTTTAGCCTCATTTACCGCATCTTGGGGCTTTATGGGAGCTTCAATTTGGGGTTTTTTGTTGTAGATTTGGGCCAAATTCACATTATCAATTTCGTTTATATCAATAGTCTTTCGGGGTATCTTGAAAAACAATTTTAAATTAAAATTTTCCATTCAAGCTTGATAAGTATGAAAAATTAACAAATAGACATTTATATATATAAAAGAGCTTTGAAGATTTACAATTAAAAGTTTTACTTTATGTTCTATGTAGTGATCATATTAAGAAAAAAAATCTGATCTCACATTCAAATACATTATTAAATTTAATTCAGAAAGATATTATCGAGCATGATTGATCATTCGTGATCAATCAAAAAAGTTTTGATCAATTACCACCTCTAGCCAGTAAATATCTTGCTAAAGAATTGGACCCCATAATAGTTATTGTGACGAAAGTCACCATACTTAGATAATAATTTTTTTTCATAGAGACAATGTTTAATTATACTATAAGGTTTTGAAAGTTTCAATACATTTTACTGCTCTATAATAGTTAATTATGATATAGTACTGAGTTATGAATTTTTTAAAATAGAAATTAACTCTATGGCGGTGTGGGCACATAACCCACTTTAGTTTATTCTTTAAAACTTTAATTCAACCAATCCAATAGAATTTTGGATGGATTCTGAAATTCTCTTTCTCTTTGACACCAAGTGATAAAATTAACTAACTAATCTATCAATTTTACAACTCAAGACTCTTAGAATAGGCTGAAAGAAGGTGAAGAGACTTGGCAAATATCTTTTCGAGTCTTGCTGCGGCGATACTAGCATTTTGATAAGTGTAATTTTTGAATTATATCTTTGATTGCTTGGTTGTAGGCTTTAGCAGAAAGCCAAAGATAATGCCTTCTTTCAGGTTTTGACTTATCGGGGTTTCAGTCTTCGATACAATCATTAAGATTCTTAACAATTGTTACGTGAATCACATAGTTATTGTGGTTTCAATTTAGAGTTAACAATAACGTAGATCAGAGTTTAATTAATTATTAATTTGTTATAAAAGAGGTTTTGGATCACTAATCGATTCTCTCTCTTTCTCTCTTTTTTAGAATAGAAATTAACTCTACTCTGGACATTGGTTGTTTACAACAGTTGTGAGGTTCTTTGAAACTTTAATTCGACTGATCTAATAGATAGAATTTTTGGTGGATTTTGAAATTTTTTTGACCAGAACTCTCTTTGACTAGGTAATACTTCAGTTTGTTCTTTGAAAATTCTATTTGATCAGAACTTTTTTTTGATTCTTGAAATTCTCTTTGACCAAGCTCTCTTTGACTGGGTAAGTGCATGCATACTAAAAGATCTTTGATTGGTTTTTTTTTGAAATTCAACTCTTGAACCGCTGAATTATGATTTTTTTAGAATAGAAATTAACTCTATAGACGTGACTCTGGATATTAGTTAGTCACAATAGTTGTGTGCATAACACACACTTTAGTTGGCTCTTTGAAACTTTTATTTGACCGATCTGAAATTTTTTTTGATCACAACTCTCTCTGACTCTTTTTAATATGTACAAAAAGAACTTTGATTTTTTAAAACTCTCTTTTGACAAAGAACTCTTTTTGACCAGGTAGGTGTATACTAAAAGTTCTTTGATTGGTTTTTTGAAATTCTCTTTAACCAAACTCTTGAACTGCTAAATTATGTTTTTTTAGAATAGAAATTAACTCTATAGACGTAACTCTGGACATTGGTTAGTTACAACAGTTGTGTGCATAACACACACTTTAGTTGGCTCTTTGAAACTTTTATTTGACCGATCTGAAATTTTCTTTGATCACAACTCTCTCTGACTCTTTTTGATGTGTACAAAAAGAACTTTGATTTTTTAAAACTCTCTTTTGACAAAGAACTCTCTTTGACCAGGTAGGTGCATACTAAAAGTTCTTTGATTGGTTTTTTGGAATTCGCTTTGACCAAACTCTTGAACCGCTGAATTATGTTTTTTTTTAGAATAGAAATTAACTCTGTGGATGTGACTCTGGACATTGGTTTGTCACGACAGTTTTGTGCGGGGGTGGGGCACATAACATACACGCTTTTAGTTGGCTCTTTAAAACTTTTATTTGACCGATCTAATAGAATTATGGATGGATTTTGAAATTTTCTTTGATCAGAACTCTCTTTGGCTAGTAATATTTTGGTTGTTCTTTGAAATTCTCTCTCTCTTTGGTCGGATGGTACAAAGAGAACTTTAACCAAGACTTTTTTTTGGTTTGTTCTTGAAATTTCTCTTTAACCAACCCTTTTTTTTGACTAATATATACTTTACTAATATACTTTTATATTAAAAAAACTTTATTTACTAAATTTAG